CAACAGGCCTGTTTAATGGAAGTTCCTGAAGCTACTAAGATGAGTTTCTTAACAAACATGGTCTGCTTTATTTGTTGTTTATACTTGCTATACACACGACAAAGGAGTCCATACATAATACATTCTCATACATCACATGCAGACCAGCAAAACAAGTTCTGAGAATTCTTCATTAATAGAATGTTGATTATTCAGATGCTTGCATGAGATGGTAAATGTTCGTGTCGACAAATTTTCTCAATGGCAGGTCGTGAGGCTATGTTGTAACATGTAAAGGAATTAATAATTTCACATGGCATCATATTACCATGTGTATTACGTTGATAGATGATTATTGGTCCATTTGAGCTTCTTAATGCTTAGACATGATCCCAATTATGTGTTTGTTTATTTATACTATTCAGATGATAAAGGATTTAATACAATCTCATAAATCATGTGATATCCTTTTTTGTATGCTTTGTATTGCTTTCCGTATTAGTTGCCATGTTTTCTTCATTGCCGTATTTCCTTGTTCACAACTATTTTGATTTGATGCACTTGAGCCGAGAGTCTTTTGGAAGCAACCTCTCTACCTCCATGACGTAGTGGTATGGTCTGTGTACAATCTACTCTACCCTCCCCAGTCCTTACATGTGGGGTTACACTGGATATGTTCTGTTGTTGTCGCAAATGTGATACTTGAAAAACAAAAGATGATTTAAAGTTGATAACTTTAAAAAGTCAATGACAAACTTGTGCCATATATATCATATCTCAAAAACACCTGCAACAAGCTTAACATAAAGCACTGGAAATGGCTGAGAGAGAAATATTAATATCCCATCTTTTATACTTAAGGTTGTCGCCAGTGGAGACTTGCACTGGGAGGCTCTTCTAAAAGCTAATTTTGAAGCTGCTCCTCAAAGTATACCCATAATTGCACTTTCTTTTGTTTATCAGGTAACACATTTTTTCAATCAACTCATATAGTCACCCTGGGATTGTGTGTCTTAAGTTAATAAATTGCCTTTTGTTCTCAGAATGTTGTACCTGTTCTCTGTACAAATCTTGAAGGGGACCTGTCAAAAGTAAGGTGATTATCAGTATTTTGCTTTCATTACTGCAGCATATAGTATACACTTGACATACCTTATGAACACATAATTCTGAATCTATATTTCTTGTTCATTTAATAACATAATGTCACTCTTTATTTAATATGATTCATTTGATTGGACGACTAAATTTTGGAAATAATTTGACTTGTATTTAAATCTTTATTGCTATGAGAAATCATTCACAACATTCTGAAAATTTGGTCAGTTTCCTTTGTATAGGCTGTTTCACTCAATCCATCTTTGCTTTATGTAACAGTTAATGATAAAAAAGAAAACCACCTAAACTATCACCTTTTTGCAAGTTTCATACCTCAACTATCACTTCCTTTGTATTAAAACACACCTTGATGCTAAGTTGGCCTACACACGCCTGTCGTCGATTGGGAACAAATATTTGGGCAACTCAACATTGAGGTGTGTTTTAATACTAAGTGAGTGATAGTTGAGGTAGATAAAGAGAACAATGGGTAGATGAGGTATGTAACTCGCGAAAAAGTGATAGTTTAGGTGTGTTTTTGATCATTAATTCTTTATTTAACGTCCTATCAGTATTTCAGGTCGTATTATGCAGTTGGCTATTGCTACATTCTAAATAAATTGATGGTTATGGCACTGCAGGAGCGCTATCGTTTTTGGGACAGCAATTCCCCTTGCTCTATTTCTTGTTTGGGATGGAGTCATTTTGGGAACAATTACAACTCTTGGAACTGAAGCAGACAAGATTGCGGATCCACTACAACTATTGCGGTCTACTAATGGAATTGTTGGGGTTGGTACTTATTTCAATGAGAAACTATATTTCTTTATTGAAATTAAGTAAAATAGTTAGGCACTGAGTTTTTCTCCTCTTATCTTAACATTGTGTTTGCAGCCAATAGTTGATATCTTTTCACTTCTGGCAATTGCTACTTCTTACATCGGATTTGTCTTGGGCCTTGTGGACTTTCTTGCTGACTGTGAGTGACTTAGCTCTGTAATTGTTCAATCTATGAACATGTACTATTTTCAAGACTTCTCTTGTTAGCTAAATTTTGGTTGCAGTTAGTTTAGCTGTGAGCAATTGTCTTGCATAAAATCTTCTTTTTTGGATCACTATTTGTGGGACAGTTCTATTTTATACCAAGTTTGTTCCCCATTTAGCTTCTCTTTGTGGAGTCTATGAATAGAAGTATGTCTCAAATACTATATATTCTTTGTTACCGTTTCATAAACGTTTTTGAGCTAATTCCACCAGCAACATTATTATTACCTTGTAGATTTCACTATATTATATAATCTGGTCTGAGACTCTGATCACTTTAGTAAGTCTTAATTTTAGCTCTCTTTATGAGGTCTAACTTATGCTTTACTTTTGTTATTGAACTGCTGGCAGTGCTGAAACTCCCGTCAGGTCCTAACAGGCCTCTGCCATACTTACTTACTTTGGTTCCTCCGCTGATACTTTCACTGCTAGATCCAGAGATATTCTTCAAAGCGTTGGATTTTGCTGGAACCTATGGAGGTATGGAGATTCTTACCTACAGTATTGCTTGATACCTCTTTGGGATGCGGCTATTATTCGGACTGTATGAAGATTTACCTACAGTATTGCTTAAATTTCAACTTCATTTTGGGACATACTTAGATGTGGTATCAATGTCCATCTAGACGTTTATTCAATACCGATCTGAACAATTTATTTAATTTGTGTGTTCGCGTCTTTGTAGTTTTGGTGCTTTTTGGACTTCTTCCAGCTGCAATGTCCTGGTCAGACAGATATTCGGAATCAACTCAAACTCCAAACTTACCTCCGTTGGTTCCCGGAGGAAAGATCACCATTTCACTTGTTTTCGGAGGTGCAGCATTTGTCATTCTTTCAGAAATAGTAGGGAACTTTGCACATACATAGCTGTTGACAATGGAGGTGATAATATTTATGTTGTATCCGCTCGTCTCGTCTCGTCTCGAGTTACCACATTTCCCAGATTGCTTCTACAAATGCTAGCTAATTTGCAGCGTATGAAGTACTATTTGTATATATACTGGTGAAATTGTTGAGACTCTGATCAGGTAGATAGAAACAACTATGGAATAAAGTTCTCATAGATTGGATTCATCATGTTGTATTCACTGAAATTATGAAAGAAAATCATTGTCAACTATTTTGTTTTGTTCCAATATTAAATAAATAAACACAGCATAATACAAATCAATTCACGTGTATCTCACACGACATGACTATTTGTTCAACTTTATACAAATTTGTATATCTACATACGCACATACAAAAAACCAAGAAAATTGGCTAATTTTTAAAAGTTGACTCGTAATGTAAAAATATGTCTTAAAATGGTGGGATTATACGCAATGCTTCCCCAACTCATTACTGAAATCCTCAAAAGTTTTTCGGAAATTTTTTTGGGTTGGGTGCTCCAATGTGTCAGATTCATGGACTAATACATACGAAAAATCAAGAAAGTCTGTCAATTTCTAAAAGTTGGCTCGTTAATGCGAATATATGCCTTAAAAATAGTGGGACTATACGCAATGCTTCTCCAACTAATTACGGAGGTCCTCATAAACTTTTTTTCACAAAAAAATTTGGGTGCTCCAAAGCACTAGATCTATTGGCTAATGCACACGAAAAACCATGAAAATCAACTAATTCCTAAAAGTTGGTTCGTAAATGCGAAAATATATCTCAAAAAATGATGGGACTATACACAATGCTTCCTCAACTCACTACGGAGATCCTCATAAAGTTTTTTCAAAAAAAAAATATTTGGTGCTCCAAGGCACATGATACAAGGGCTAATGCACACGAAAAACCAATATAGTCGGCTAATTTCTAAAAATTGACTCGTAAATGCGAAAATATGCCTTAAAAATTGGTGGACCATACAAAATGTTTCCCCAACTCATTACGGAGATCCTCATAAAAATATTTCAGAAAAAATAATTGAATGCTCCAAGGCCCTAAATCCATGGCCTAACACACGAAAAACACAAGAAAGTCTGTTAATTCCTAAAAGTTGGCCCGTAAATACGAAATATGCCTTAAAATTGTGAGATTATATGCGATGCTTCCCCAACTCATTACGAAAATACTCATAAAGTTTTATCGGGAAAAAAATTTTGGTGCACCAGTGTCTAATCCATGAGTTAATACACCGGAAAAATATAGAAAGTCATCTAATTCCTAACAGACGACTCGTAAATGCGAAATTATGGAACTATATGCAATGTTTTCCCAACTCATTACGAAAGTCCTCATAAATTTATTTCAGAAAAAAAAATTGATGCTCCAAGGCGCCAGATCCATGAGCCAATACACACGAAAAAACAAAAGAATAGACTAATTCCTAAAAGTTGACTCGTAAGTGTGAAAATATGCCTTAAAATGGTGGGACTATACGCAATACTTCACCTTAATTAAAAAAACATAAATGTCAGCTAAACTCAAGGTAAAAAATACGTTTATATGTATCACATAGCTCTTTTAACGCCCAAAAGGACAAATAGTAAAAACATTCTCGATTTTTCCAATTTAGAAACACGAACTAACCCTTGTTCCATTGAACACTAGAATGCCAAATCCAATATAAAAGGTAAAGAATCCTACACAACAATATGATCAAATCCATCTCACTAAGTATTATACATCACAGGATTGAACTCCAATAGACCCTGAGCAAATCTCAAAAGAAATAAAGCTTTCGCAACGATCCAAAGATATTCCTGGTAAGCACAATAGAAGAGACTGTTAACGAAGCAAATGTTTCTCCGGTAACACCAGATGTGCAACCTAATAGTATTTTTGCATTGCTAGCTTAGCATTTTTATCTGGATGCTGAGATTGCAAATCGTACTCATTGCAGTAAAAACATTTACCTGGAAAAACCTAGCAGCACTCCAAGATCTGAATACCGATAATACACCTTAAAAACGAGCAGCATTCAAAGCTTTCTTACAGCTTGCAGAAACATCATATATACAGCCAGACCCCCAATCGTTGTCTCACTTTTAAAAAGCAGACTTATCTATTGGTACAGTTAAACAGAATTCTGCAATAAGTGACCAGCCAGTATGAAACATGAACGTAAGAGTAACCCAGTATACAAGAACTAAGGATTCACTTGGTAATCAACAGCCATTGCTTCAGGACCCATGGTAGCATCCTCCGATCCACTCTTGTTATGATCATCAACTACATTCCTCATCTCTTCGACCAAACTCCTTTGCTCTTCCTCTATTGTGTTCTGCAACTCATCAACCTGAAAAGGAAAAAAAAAGCTTTGAACATTCAGGAAAAGATTTGTGCCACTTTCACCAATTAAGGTTTCCTCTATTGCAGATGGAAGTACTACTTAAAAAGTTCTATGTATCTACACAGTATTTCCAAACATGGGTAATCTCGTATTCAAGTCTTAGCAGTGGTGTCAAAGATGAAAACCATAATAAAAACCTAAGAACTGCTCAATTAGATAAATAAAAGAAACACCAATTGGATAAATAAAAGAATTTAAAATGAAGAGATTGGTTGAGGATATTACATGATTTATATTAATTAGGTTTCGGTTCAATTTGATTTATTGCTGTAACTATGCCTAGATTTGCGATGTGAAAGTTGTAACATGTGAAATGCCACATTGAAGCTGCACCAAGTTGTGCAAAGAGTTGCATGGCTCCAACAAACCTTATCCTAGTATCCTATTGCCAAAATCCTCACTGTTGGTTGCGATGTGTCGATCAAGCTTGCCAAAGTTTGATTTATGAACCAGCGGATGATACAATTACAGTATCTCCATTTGCTGAAGTTCTTATCACACTCGCCTGGATGACAACTCAACCCAATTATGATCCATCCTTTCTCACTCTCTGACACTACTACTAGCAATGTATGCTAGTCTGATTGTTAATGTCAATGATATTCTCATAACCCGCAATGACCAAGAAATTTCTCAATTAAAGAAACATTTGTTAAACCACTTAGAGACCAAAACCTTGGGAAATTAAAGAAAATACCCTTGAACATGCAGGAGGAAACTAGCTCTTAGATGGTAAATATTTTGACACTCCTATAGATTCAAAGGTCAAGCTCATTCTAGATAGGCATCACAATCATGGTGAATCATCTTCCATGCCAAAACAATAAAAATAATATTAGATATCACCGATCTTTTTCCTTGAAATATGTGAGTATAAGAACTTTAAAAAGTTACATGCTTCAACTTACAATCCACCAATGCATAGTATCTAAAGAGCCAATCCTTACCAATTATAACATCATAGTCCTAAAAAGGCATTCCAATCAAGTCTTAGACTTTGAACCATGAAGGGACAATCTCAATAAACCCGGTTACAATCACTTGATGACTCAAAGGATGAGCAAACATATTTTCACACACTATGATTGTCACTGCTATGAAAATTTGTACCCTTTTATCCAAACGCGGAAAACTAATCTTAAAGATCTAGTTACTCAAATTTAAGGAGATAGAAAATTTTGCACCGTAACACCTTGTTTTAGAATATGTCGAGCACGGTCTTGATTCTCAAAATTACATTATACCTTCACAAGATACTTCTTTTATTTGGGGTTTAGACTTCCTCTACTGCTCACTGAGCATCCATCCCTTGGTAAAAGCAAGTTCTCCACAGATCAACTAAGCATCCCAATATTGCTAGTGTCTCATAATTCATTTGTTTTTTTATATATATCTGAGGTCATAATTTTCTAACCAATAAGCACAGATTATACAAAAAAAGAAATATTCTTTAAATAGAAGTTTCTAAATAACATGAAAATTTGGATTTCAAGAAAACCGGAAAACTTTACATAAATTAAAAAGTGGGCAATCATAATGTTCTATGAAAATTGGGGTGTTACATTGTCCGCCTTTTCTCACATACACCTTAATTCTTAAAATGTCACTCATACTACATCTGATTTAAGTAGTCATGCATAGCAAGCCTAATTTAGTAAATTAGATAACAAGATAATAACATGCTATAATAGATTAAAGTCATTGATAATGTGAAAGTTCTTTAAGTTGTCGGTAAATAAATTTAAATCTAATAAGAGAAGTCAAAACACCAAGAACCTATCAAGAAAAAAAATCAAAACTAGGAAAGAAAATCAATCAGTTTCTCTTTTCCTCTTCCTCTGATTCTGTGCATTAGAATCGAAAGTATTTAATGTGTACACATACTTCAGCACCTCTTGAGATTAAGGGTGGCGTTGGTCAGTTCGGTTTGGTTTTGCAAAAGTTCAACTCAGTTTTTTGACTTTCGATTTTAGAAACCGAAACGTAATAATTTCGGTTTGGTCTCATCGGTTCGGTTTTTCAGTTTTGGGCCTGTCAGACTAAAAAGTGGGTCTCACAATTAATCTTATTTATTTGGGATATTTTTTAGCAACACCACCAGTTTTTTATTCAAGAAAAATAGCACAATACATCATAGCAGATATTGGCTAAGAAAATGAGACCAATCCAGAAATTAAACAAAAAGACAAAGTTAGAAAAATGGAGACCAACATAAAAAAGAGATGTGTTGGTTTGGAAGTTTGGATATATGCTGCGGAACTTATGTAAGAACGGAAAAGGAATTAAGGAAGCATTAGACTTGTGCTTCTTCAGAATAAGAATCAGTTTTAAGCTAAGGGATAATGCTAAGGAAACCAAAAGCATTAACGGAAGGTAAGTTTGCAGCAAGATACATACCACATGCAATAAAAGGGCAAACTGCTTTTTACGAAGGTCCAATGTCCTCGAACTAGCAGTATTCTCTGCTTCCAACATAGCTATCTCTTTCTCAAGCTCTGTTATAACCTTCTGAGTTTCTGATCTTGGAGGCTGCATAGCAATCAATTTCCTGATAGCCTCGCCCTCTTCTTTGTGCTTCCTTTCAACCTTGCTTTCTTCGAGTTGCCTCTTGAGATCTTCTATGTCAGCCTGAGCCTGTACAATTTGCTTGTTGATTTCACCCTTCAGGTCATTAAAATTCTCCTTTTCTCTAACATTCGCATCTATGACTACTTTGCTCTTTAGGAGCGGAATCTCAAAAGTATTTAGCTCTTGCAAGAATGCTTTGGCAAGTCTTTCACAATCATTGTAGTTATCAGCTTCCTTCTCTATCTCCAAAGCAAAAGTAGTGAACTTCTTCTGAAGTTTCTTCAGTGGTGGTTCACCTCTGGTGGTGGTTGTCCGAGTCAGAAGTCTATGCTTAATAATTATATCGTCTTCAAGTGGGCCAAATGCATAATGTGATGCCACTGCCTCCCCCTTTCCAGCAAATTTCCTACCTTTTATCGACATTTATTTTGATTCTTCTATCCTGAAATAAACATCTCTTACAGATTAGCATCCAATATATACTAGATCATGGGCAGAGACTTATAGCTTCCCTAGTCACCTCTGAAAGAGGTTAAATGGCTAGACAGCTGTTTCTTTATCTAGTGAAATCAGGATACTAAAGAAATACAAGTAATAATATTCTAAGAGGTTTGATATTATTTTACAAGTAATATTCCGTTTGTCCACAATTTATTTGACACATTTCCCTTTTTAGCTTGTCACAAAAAGAATGGTATGTTTCTATATTTCTTTTTTTTTTTGAGAAAAGGTATGTTTCTATATTTCTTTTATGACCGTGATGTCCGAGTCATCTTTTGCGCACCTCAACTAATTCCATGGGATACCTGCCACCTCCCACCAGCAACAAGTATCAAATTACTCTGTCCACCAAGGCTTCACCTAGTGTATTTTGAAAACAACTTAACTTGAAATTTTTCAGTTTACCCCCTTAGTGAGATGATTTATAGTCACATAAATGTCATGATGTGTTTTAAACCACAAATTTCAAAAGTCTTTCTTTCATAGACTTTTGTGCAGAATCATTTCATTTTTGTAAATTTCTAATTGTTCCAAAGTCTAATAAACTGAATTAATCAAATTCAATTCTTCTCATTGTATCTAGGAGTATTCATTCACTCGAAACTACTCGACTTCTGTTTCTACTTTCCCTAAGCAATAACAAGCTTAATCGGATTACAGGTGTTAGTGAAAAGATGGAATATAACTAAATTAAGAGAAATGTATGGCAGTGATTAGTCTAAAAGATGTCCAATCATAAGGAAGGAGTGAAAGAGAAAGAAGGATATACCTGATAATGAGAATTTGGAGTAGATGCCGGAACAAGTTTCGCCGGAAAAAATGTCGTCGTTGTCCGACCGGCGAAAGTAGAAGCCCCCGTTCTTCAATTTAGGGTTGTATTGAATATATTGTGTTCTTCAGTAATTGTAGTGAATATATATTGTATCATATTATATTGGCCTATTATATTTATATAATATGTCACATCAATAATTTGAATGAAAAATAAAGATGAAATGAGATTAAAAAAAATTAAGATAACGATGCTATTATATCAAATTAATGTTACATAATAAAATGAGATTTTTCATCGTTAACTAATTATGAATTTAAAGAATACACTATTAGATAATTTAAGATGCAATCAAAATAAACATAATATTTAAACTATTGATGCAATACAATACAATCAATTTGTTCACCAATTGTTAATGCGAATTCAATACCAATAAGTCGATAAACTTATTTTTGAGATTGAATTGTTTATTATGGTTATATTTTTACCATTATTTTTAGCTAGTAAATTTTTATACAATGGTCAAGAATTGTAATATAAATAAAATTTATAACACTTTGCTTAAATCATATAGATCTGGTGGTAATTCTTTTTTAGACAATTTTATTACTTTCTTTTGTCTAAATTTATGCGATATAATTTAATTTCAGAATGTCAAACAAGAAAATATTTGATCATGGTTTATATATGTTCTTTAAATTGTTGATTAATGTGACTAATAGCACATTTTATATAACCTTGCAAAATTGGTTGCCTCAGACAATCAAACATGGTCTTCAAAGGGGCTGTTAAAGCAATAACCATGAACTTACTTGAATAAATCTCAACTAATTTCACGAGATATCTATCCAACACAAGTACGAAGTAACTCCATCCACCAACGATTACTCGAACAAACCTCATCTAATTTCACAAGATACTATCCAACACAACTGTGAAGTAACCATTCACCAACAATTACTCTTAACAAACCTAAAGTAATTTCATGAGATACCTACCAACAAAGGTACGAAGTAACTCTATCCACCAATGCTTACGGCAATCATACAACCTATTGCTTCTTTACACTGCCATTGTTATCCAATGGTTAACCTTTCAATCATCCCTCCCAACATAACTAGGAAAAACAAACTGAGAGCTCCAAAATTTACTCATTGACAAAAAAAGCCATAAAGAAGAGGTATAATGGATGATCATAATTCTCAGCTTCATATGCTTTCAGAGTAACATTTCCATTTCATGAGTAAACGCACTTGAACAAAAAGAGCGACGATAAATACTAGAAATAAAGTTTCAGAACAACTCAAAAACTAGCAAAAATACAGCCTGACAAGGCTCAATCCGGATAGAGAGTTCCTTCTCGTGTTGACCTTAAATTTTGTTGAAGGCAACAATATCACAGCTCTGGACGTATTCGTTGATGGGCTCTTCTGTTAGGCGTTCCTCAATGAGGGTATCCACAGAGACAAGGTCATCGACGATGGTAAGCATGATCTGCAATTTCTTAATCCCGTATCCAACAGGGACCAATTTGGCTGTCAAAGAGATGAGAACAGCTAGTCAGTAACAAACTAAGATAATACAACAGTTCAAGCAATGGGTAAAGAGTGGAATAGATATAATAAGTCATACATGCTCCCCAGAGAAGCCCTTCCATCTGAACACCACGAACAGCCTCCTCCAGTTTCTTCATATCGGTTTCATCATCCCAAGGCTTAACGTCCATAAGAACGGATGACTTTCCACCTACAAAAGTAAGGGAAGATCAGAATGAAGCAGATTAAAGATGTACTTGAGCAAACGAACATATTTTCTTTCTATAATCCAATTCTGAAGTGTTTTTTTGTATTTTTCCAGAGTCAATTTCTTTCTTCACTTTTTTATACATCATTCGCATATAAAAGTAGTTGTGCATTGTATACGAAAGCAACTAAGAAGGAATGTCAATGCTCACTCTCTTTCTTCTTGGTAGATGCCTTAGCAGCCTCCCTTGATTCTGCTGCTGCCTTCTCCTCCTCTGTCTCTTCTCCAAAGAGATCAATATCATCATCGTCATCGTCATCAGCGGCAGGCTGCAAACATTTCATGTGTCAAACTACACTTGGACATAGAGAAAATCAAGATAATCAAATGTCCCCTACTATATGAATGAACAATTGCCACTATAACATCGCAATATAATAAAATAGATCAGTTGAGTACTATTGAGTAACGGTGGTACGTCAAAGCCTTTAGTTATGCAGACCAAGCACGAGAAGGTTGATACAGAAATATAACCAATACATAACATATCCAGTAATATCTATTTAGAAGAACAAATGTGCGAGCACGTAGGACCATACAAGGTAGCTTTCCGAAAAATACATTCAATTCAGTTTGATATATACGTTATTTTCATTGATGAACTGCCTTGAAATTTACAAACCATTCAAGGTGGAATTCTGACCATTATGTTTTTGGTTTGGCGAATGTCACTGGCTACTAGGAAGCCACGGCACTACCTCAGCCTTTATGCTCTTCTTTTTATTTTCTTCCTCACAATTCAACACATCTTCTAAAAGTTTTACTCAAAAGAGAGAAAGAGAAGGGGAAAAGAGATTTAAGTTGAGACACTTGGTTAACAGCTTAAACAGAATAACAAAAACAATACAATTCACGGAGCTTTATTGCCACAACAGAGTGGAATATCACAGACAACATTATATTTTATTTTTTTAAGTATCATATAGACAGTATTCACAACAATTTTTTTCAAGTCATAAATTTTGTATTGATAAATGGGCAGAAAACAACCATATAAACAAGTTAATAACACATGCTAAATTCACTTTAAATATAAAAAACATCCCTAGAAAGTAATAGAACACATTTTACTCCCTCAATTTCAATTTGTTTGTATTACTTTCGTTTTTAGTTAGTTTCAAAAAGAATGCATCTTTCCTTTATTAGAAACTCTTTAATTTTAACTTCCCACATGGCATGTGTACGACAGCAAGATGAAAGGGCATTATGGTACATCTATATATATATATATATTTAGTTTAAGACCACAAGATTAAAAAATAGTTCTTTACTTTCTTAAACTTGTGCCATGTTGAAACCAAACAAATAAATTGAAACGGAGAGGGAATTTTTTTATTATAAAACCCAATTACACCGATACAAAATAGTGACAACCAAGATCCTTGTAATAAAAGCAAATGCAAACATCTTATTAGATGAACTGAATTATTAACGATCTTCTCTACATAGTAATAAGCAAAACAAAAGTGGTCAATGCCAACAGATAAAACACTTCAACAGTATAGTAAGTACCTTGGCAGCTTCCTTAGCAGGTGCAGCTTCAGCAGGAGCAGCTTGGCTTCCGAATCTCACACCAACAGCTTTCCCAGGAAAACTAAACACCAAGATCATCATTAATCACAAAAACAACAAAACCTCAACAAAGATTCTGACTTCCAAAAAAGTTGAAATATTAAAGAACAATATAAACAGTAGCATTAAGAAGAATAATCAAAGAGAGGTGTGGCTGCCAAATCTCACACACACAGCACTCCCATGAAAAATAAGCTCCAAAATTCATCATCAATCACAAAGACAACCAATAAAACCACTAAAGATTCCAACTTTCAAAGCAAAAACACTTGGAAAGCCAAAGAACAATAAAAACAGTAGCATTAAAAAGCATATTCAAAGAAAAGTCACCGCTGCCAACTCTAACACCTACAGCTTTCCTGGGAAAACTGAACTCCAAGCTCCAAATTGTAACACTTCACCAACCAACCGCAAGAGGAAGAGATCTTGTAAGATACTAGTTTATAATTCGCACTCATAAATTTCCTCACAAATTTGAAAGCAAATCTCAATGGATCGAATGCTCAAAGCTGCAAGAATTTCCAGTTCTCTCGACCTTTCAAATTTCTCTTAAGACAAGTACCTAGTTATTCAACTTTTCTCACATCTAAGATCCACAATTCATCATCAATCACAAAGACAACAAAAAAGGCACTAAAGATTATAACTTCCAAAGCAAAAACACTCAACAAACTCAAAGAACAATATAATCAGTAGCATTAAAAAGTAGAATCAAATAAAAGCAATGACTATCAAATCTAACACACCCCAACTTTTCCATAAAAATTAAACTCCAAGATTCATCATTCATCAAAAAGACAACAAAAACCCAACCAAAGATTCAATCTTCCAAAGAGAAAAAAAAATTGAAACAACCAAAGAACAATACAACCAGAAACATTAAGAAGAATAATCAACTGCCAACTCCCACACCCACAAGCGTTCCCAGGACAATTGAGCTTCAAAATTCATCACTAATCACACAAACACACTAAAGAATCCAACTTTCACAACAAAACATTATCCAAATCAATAAAAACAGTACAAAAACAGCATAAAAAGACAAAATCTACCTTGAGGCAAGTTTTGCAGAAACAGCTTGGTACCATTTACTAGCATTGGGGTAAAGATCTGAACTGGGTTGTTCAGAAATTGCCCCATATACCTTAATATCATCCTTAGTCAGCTGATCTCTGTAAAAAACACATCCAAAAAAAAATAAAAAATAAAAATAACACAGATTACAAATCTGAAAAAAAAAAAAAACTTACCCAGAAATATAAGTTTTTCCAGAAAGATGGTCATTAACAGACTTAAGACCAGCTTCAGTGTGAAGATTTGAGAAAGTTACAGCCATTGTTGAAGAAATAAAAGAGGAGATTTGAGATTTGAGGCTGTAAGGTTTTGGTTGGCGAAAGAGAAGGCTTTTGGGGATGAAAAAAAGTGGAATTTATATATGAGGTATTTCAAGAAACCCTAGAGGTATATGCTTTTTTTGAAAATCCATTAACTAAAATTGTTTATTTAAAAGAAATAGCCAAAAAAAAAAAAGGAAATTAAAGTTATGCGTATTAGTTATGCAGGGTTTAGTTATGGAGGGTTTAGTTATGCAGGGTTTAGTTATACAGGTATTAGTTATGTAGGTATTAATTATACAAATATTAGTTTCATAGATATTATTTATGTAGGATTTAGTTATGTAGAAATTATATTACATAAATTATAACTTATTGATTATTTAATTTATTATAAATT